AAGGAGCAACGAGATTTCAGCATACCCGAAGAGCACATGAGAAACCTAAGACCCTAGAATTGCAAAAGTCCTGGCAATTCGCCTCCAAAAGGTCCTTTGGCTGAATGCGCTTTGTGCGGGGGTTGCTTGATTACTGATACGCACCTGACTTCTTCAACCCTGCATAAACCCTTCAAGGTAGTACCGCACTGCATAAACCGAGGTATTCGTGCCTGGCTTTAGGGTTTCTATAAAGGATGGACGCTCCCGGGTCTACAACAACTATGACGATTTTCCAAGGGGAGCCTCAAAGACCCGAAGGGCAAAAGGATATTGGTCAGCAACCTCCACGTTGCACAAGTTTGTTTCTGAAGTACGATCCGCACTGTCACTTGAACTTCAAGGAAAGCACTGGAAACTTTCTCAGGCTGCTGCCTCAGCGAATTTGGAGCTGAGCAATACCTGGCAACGTCAGAAGCAAAGAGCATGAGGCCAGAGGGGTTCAAGGGCCAATGCAGAAAGCACTGTTGTGCAAGGCAGGCGGAGATGTTTTTCTGTACGCAGCACACTGCTGCAGACGACCAGCAATATTGCCGATAGAAGAGCAATCAGACTGGTGCTGGTCGGCATGGAAGAAGACTCTTGCCAGGAGCCTTTTTGGCTTTCCGGTCGCCAAACTGTGTCTGTCTGCTATTAACAGACCCCCAGAAACTAGGATTGGAACATGACTAGCCTCACACCCTCATAGGGATGAAAAGGAAATATTGCACTTATGATGTTAAATTAATTTCCAACTTTCTGGGGTTCCATATAATGTTCTCCAAGTCGAAGGCGACATCGACCGGAAAGCTCAGGAAGGCGACATCGAGAAGAAGCTTAGGCCTTAAGCCGCTCACTGCCGCCTTGCACGTTTGCGCTTGCCGGGGCCACTGCCCTGCAGGGAAAAGGCCAATTGAAACCTGTTGATCTACGGGACCCGACAAAGTCACCTAAGCCTCAGGAGTATCAGGATTTTATAGTAATTAAAGCCATTGGGGGTTCGGCAGGGCTTATTATCACAAGAA